TATGAATACTACTACTACTACTAATAACAACAACAGCAATAATAACAATGGTAATACTACTACCAATATTAATACTAATAATACTAATAATGATATTAGCACCATCCCTGTCAGGCCACAGTATGTGAGCACTAGAGCAGTGAGCTTTGTACTGAGGCTGTGTTTGCAGAGTACTGTGGATTAATCCTCACATCCTCTGTCTTGTTTTTGTGTTTTCTTTTGTAGACTCTATAGTGATCGGCTTCTGGGTCGGCCTGGCTGTCTTTGTCATCTTTATGTTTTTTCTGCTCATGCTCCTGAGCAAGACTGGAGCTCCACATCCTGAGTGAGTCACAGCAGTTCACTGATGGAAAGTGTCAGCCAAACAGCTGAACACAGTGAAGTGAACAACGCTACCAATTCATTTTCTTCACAAACTGTCCCATAGTAGAGTGGAAGAAGTCATGTGCAGACTACAATGGTCCATGTGTCAGACTCTCAGCTGACAGGGACTGACTGAACGCTGCCTAAATGAGTAAAGCTCAGAGGTCACATGGTGTTTAAAGTGTATTTGGAGCAGCCTTTGGAATGAGTCTGGTGAAACCCTCACATATTCTGTCTTACACTGCACACTTCTAAAGTCCCTGTAATGTTACACAGCTTCAGTTCTAAATGCATCTAGAAAGCAACAGAGACTGTGTGATTCCAGCCAGAGCTCAGCAGGACTACCATCCCTTCACTGATGTGCTCATTAACTGAGAAATGGTTAAATTGGTGAGGGTGATGGATGTCTCTGTGTGTATGGCCATAGGGCCCCAAAAAACACATCACTGAGCCACACTGTTGCACTGGCTGACATGTTCTGTCATTACTATGAACACACTGCAGTTTATTTAGACTCCGTCACTCATACACTGTCCCGCTTCCCCAAATACCCACCAGAGCACCAAATGCTGATTAATCCGCCGCTGCATATAGTCCCAAACAAATGCATTTCCTCCTGTTGAATGACGTTTGTTAAAAACTTAAACAACTTAAACAAAGCCTTTGCACAGTGAATTTCAGCTTTTTCTTTCTGGGCGGAGGTTTATTGTCCCAAGATGGAGAACAAATCCGTATAAAAATAGCTTTGTTCCAGCTGCTACCATTCAGATCAACAAGGTGTAGTAACGTGGCATGAGTTTTAGTTGTTTTTACATGAATTTATTTATTCAAGTGGTTATTTATCGTAGTGTTTTCTTTATTGATCTCTTTTTGTAAGTTGTTATTTCAATCTGTATTCACACATGCAGAGCCAGCGGCTGTCCAATGTCCACTGAGCTCATACAGTCAGTCCATACAGTGCTGCTGTAGCTGCTGTAAATGTAGACAATTACAGTCTGTTGCTCATTTTGGCAGCTGGGGCCATCGTTCCACTGGATTATTAGGAGCTCTGGTGGTCAGAGCATCAATATTGACTCTGCCTGCTGCATGGTGACACAATATCTGAGAAAAACTGCAGCCATGGGGGAGGGGAAGATACTGTTTACTGAGCCCACACTGACTGAGAATGCAGCTGCTTAGATCCATTACTATGTTAGCAGACATGTCCTTTCCTAATACTCTGATCTGTCACATCAATGGTTCACATGTCGTCAATGAAAGGAGGGTCATTTTGTTCTCTGGATCTAGACCATCATCTGCAGCATTTCCACTGGGCTTCTCTGAGAGTTCCACTCATTACTCCCAGAAAATAGACTTGACGTAGAAAAAGTTGTTACAAGGCTGTTTGGCTCCGTGTGAAGAGCTAGACTGACTCATGTTCAAGCCGGAATCAAAAGGGACCCTTTGTTTTGTTCTGTTTCACATTTGGAGAACCCGCTTCGAAGTGTGACAGTGCACAGTTTATGCTAAACAGTCGACAAACTGTTTAGGATCATTCTAAATATGCACTAAGTTTACTATGCTATCTGAGTGAGGGGCTAAAGTACAATTTTACAGCCAACATGTATTATTTCCAGGATATTTGATCATTTGAATCAATGTTCAGGTGTTTCGAGGACTGAAAAACGACTTTGTAAATTTGAACTCTGCACTAGTCTATCCTTTATGGGTCTGAATTTCTTAACAGAGGAAAGCGGGTACAAACATCGTAACACCATCCATGTTGTGTAGGTGCTGTAGGCGGCGTGTGAAATGGTTTCTGTTAGACCCAACGTGCTGAACTTCAGACTGTAATTTGTGAAGCAAACAGGGACAACTGTGTCACTAAAGGTCAAATAACAACATCCATCTCCTGCTGTTAGTGATTTACACAAACTTTAGTGGAGCAAAGACCCTGCAGGAAGTTGCCTTCGCAACAATTAACACAAATTCAACCAATCCCTGTGCATTCTGCCTGACTTTTATGCAAATTTGACCAATCATTGTTGTTTAGTGCGTAAACGTTGAGCTATATGACCTCAGACTCACTTCCTTGTTTCTGAGGATGCAGACCATGCAGGCATGTGCAACACGAACATCTCACATTTACCCTCCAAACATTTTACTCTCACAAGTTGCCTTTGATTTTTTGTATTTTTTTTATTAATTATACAAAAAATATAAAAACGCAACAGTTTTGGCAATTTTCCCTTTCTCGTGCGTGTAGCTCCCCGTGTTGAAATGTACTTGTTGTGTCAGTTGCCCTTTATGTGGCAGAAGGAAAACGTTTCATGGGAGTGCTGTCCTAGTGCTTTTCTTTATGATTTTACACATTTAGGACTACCCAGTCTTTATAGTCTTAATGG